TTATAGATATTACGGGTTATGGATGTCATAGGTTATTACTCAATTCAATTCAAGTTTATTTATATAGCGCCAAATCACGACAAGCGTCGTCTCAAGGCACTTCACATAATAAACATTCCAATACAGGTCAATTCTTTGAGCCAATCAGAACAAAGTTTCCTATATAAGGAACCCAGCAGGTTGCATCGAGTCACTGACTAGTGTCAGAGTCTTTACAGCAATCCTTTTACTAAGCAAGCATGCAGCGACAGTGGAGAGGAAAACTCCCTTTACAAAGAAACCTCCAGAGGATCCTGGTTCAGTATAAGCAGCCATCCTCCACGACTCACTGGGGATCAAGAAGACAGAGCGCGCACGCACACACGCGCGCACGCGCACACACACGCGCACACACACACACACATACCAAGCAATGTGTCCATGGTTACACCGTGATTGCTTAGTAAATATTCTATTTGGCGAGAGATAAATAAACTTTATTGTATTTATCCTAGTGAATCTATTGTTAAACGGGTAAACTAGCAGTAGCACATCCAACGTTTAGGGAACAAAAAGTTATTATCAGGAGAGGGAGAAAGTTTAAGTGGTTAGCAGCAGTGTGCTAGATGATAGCCCCCTCTGTGAGGCCACCACAGTTCAGCAGAACATCATTGCAGCTTCTTCTGGGGAGAAAAACACTTAGAGAGAAAATAAAGTTAATAGCTGAAGTAGCAGGAAATAATACAGTTAAAGAGCAGATTGTAGAAGAAAGTAGTAAAGTGTGTTAAGTGGTCAGTGTATCCTCCAGCAGTCTAAGCCTATAGCAGCATAACTACAGAGATAACTCTGGATAACCTAGCCTTGGATGGAGGCATGTTGGAGGCAGGGCAAGGGAGAGCCGTCTTTACTGACTGTACACTCCACCTCCTTCTACTCCCCCACTTGTCCAGATCTAGGCTAACATCAGATTTTAACCATCTCTGTAGGCCCTATCAAATAAAAAGGTTTTGAGCCTATTCTTAAAAGTAGACAAGGTGTCTGCCTCACGGACTAAAGCTGGGAGCTGGTTCCACAGGAGAGGAGCCTGATAACTAAAAGATCTGCCTCCCATCCTAATTTTAGATATTCTGGGAACCACCAGTAAACCTGCAGTCTGAGAGCAAAGTGCTCGGTTAGGAACGTATGGAACAATCTGATCACTGATGTATGATGGAGCTTGATTATTAAGAGCTTTATATGTGAGAAGGAGGATCTTAAAATCTATTCTGAATTTAACAGGTAGCCAATGTAGGGAAGCTAAGACAGGAGAGATATGATCTCTCTTCTTAATTCTCATCAGAACTCTAGCTGCAGCATTTTGGACAAGCTGAAGACTTTTAACTACATTCTGTGGACTTCCTGAGAGCAATGACTTACAGTAATCCAGTCTTGATGTAATAAATGCATGAACTAGTTTTTCAGCACTCCTCACTCCTGGAAAGGATGATTCTAATCTTAGCAATATTCCGAAGGTGGAAAAAGGAAATCCTACAAACCTGATTAACCTGGGATTTGAATGACATGTCCTGGTCAAAAATAACACCAAGGTTCCTTACTTTGTTCTCGGACTAATTTAATGCCATTCAGGTCAGGTGATTGACTAAGCAATTTCCCTTTCTGGATTTCTGGTCCAAAGATTATGAGATTTCCATGATTTGCTTTATTAAGCCTGATATTTAATCTGTGTGATTTTGGCCGTGGGCAGGACACTGTCTCAGTGGGGTTGTGGGTGGGTAACAGTACTGAAGCTGCAGAGGGGTGTGTTAAACTATGACTCTGCTTCCTGGTCTGGACCCTGGGTTGTCATGGAGGACTAATAAAACTGGCCATGTTCCTAGAAAGAAGAGCTGCACCATCCAAATATGGATGATGCTGTCCCTTTGCATCAGACCAGGTTTTCCCCAAAAAGTTTTCCACTTATCAATGTAGCCCACGTTGTTTTCAGGACACCACCTAGACAACCAGCGGTTGAAGGACAGCATGCGGCTAAACATGTCAGATGTCATAGGTTACAGATGCCATATGTTATAGATATTACAGTTTATAGATGTCATAGGTTATAGAAGTCATAGGTTACAGATATCACAGGTTATAGATGGTTATAGGTTATAGATGTCATAGGTTATAGACGTCATAGGTTAGAGATATTACAGGTTATAGGTTATAGATGTTATAGGTAATAGGTTTACAGGTTATAGATGTTATAGGTTATCGATATTACAGGTTATAGATATTACAGGTTATAGACGTCATAGGTTACAGATGTCATATGCTATAGATATAGGTTATAGATGTTATAGGTTTATGGGGAGGGCGAACTCTGTGAACTGGTCCTAGTGTGTGTTTGTGTGGGTATAAATACTATTATTATTTTAAAAAGCATTGTAATTAATTGCCTGTGCTTACTTCTGCAGCTTTGTTGTTTAAGGAGACCACCATGAACACAAGGTGGGGTGCATAAATGGAAATGATCTCAAACATTCGGATCCTGCTGAACTCTAAACGGTTTTGTTTCTCCTCCGTTTTTAAGAACAGATGAAACTTTACTCTGAAGGTTTTGTTTTAGCAAAAGCAAAAGTGCAGCCAAAGTCATCGGCTGAGAAGTGAAACGCAGCTTATCTACATGCAGACACTTCCTCAGAGGCCGCTCTGCCACCAAAAAAGCCAACTTTGCATCCTGTTACTGGCAATTTTCAGCGTTGGGTAGCATCCACCAGTGAAGGCCAACAAAGGAAACCACAGCATTTAAAATTCCTGCCTTCCAACATCAGAATATGTTGACTAACAGACTTTAAAGTGGTGTATGTCAGCAAGTTCAGGAAGTGCTTGAAATCTGAACTTTGCTTTGTATTGGTCCATCAATAATTATTTAAAAAATAATGCAGCTTACAATGATTAAAGACCAAGTTCCCTGAGAAAACATTTTTAATGATAATGTTTGATTATAATGGGTCACTCTGAGAGACTGAACATGAAAATGGTCTCCTACACCCATATCCTGCGTTAGCTTCTGATGGAAAACAGAAAAAACCCAGTGGTGGCTGATGCATCTTTTGATTCTTTTCTTAGTTTATTTTTTTAATTTTGGTTCTTCTGAATCGTGATTTTTATCTTGAGGATTGCTATATAAAGAGTTTTTCACAGGCACTAACCACATATCACCACTAGGGAACGCCAAAGCACCATTCTTATGCGTGATACGAACTGAACCTGCCAGACTCGTGTTTAATATTCACCAACATATGCAAACTGCACATATACTTTATGGAAACAGGCTCAAACTGCTAAACTAAACATTGAATCCACGTTTTCTGCCCAATGACAATAAGCCAATGTATGAAAAGCAAAATAAAGCTCATTTCATGAAGTCATAAGTGTAAATTCGGTCATACCATCGCTGGTTTATGGTTCTAATGATCTATAGTATAGTAAATAAAAATCCACTCAGTTGTTGTAATCCTGTGTCCTCATGTCACACTGAGCTGACTCTGCTGGAGAGTGTTCGCAAGTCTCAGACACCACATTCCATTATTTTCCAGTTCTCCATAATATAAAACTCCACAAGGTGTACTCAGCTACTCTACAACAAACAAGGACGGTGATCTAAAAAAACTAATAAATAAAAAGAACTGCAAACTATGGAGAGCTTCCAGTTCTGGGTGAAAACCCTGAACTGAGCTGAAAGTCACCCAGGTTTCTGTCACAAACCCCTGCACCCAAAGGCTCTCCTATTCTTTGTATTGGAGAGGGATCCAGCCCACTTGCATCAGTTATAGAGTAGGTCTATGGTAAAGATGGCTGTACCCCAAAAAGGAACAGGAAATACATTACAAGACGATTCAGTTGTGGTAAGTGTGAGAGAACATTTTTTAATTACACTGAAATGCAGAATGTACACAGCACTTAGGCTAGGCTATGCAGCTTTATTTGTACGGCACATTTCAAACACAAAGGAACTGTCAAATATTATCTATCAGCGTAATGCGGCACGGGCCAAAGCCAGAAAAGTTCATCTCCCCTGTGACTGGGCTAGCTTTAGGCAAATAACAAATAAATGTACTACTCTCATGTAGTGCATGCCACTTAGACTTGCGTATGACTTAACTCCGACTTGATCTGACTGCATGCCTACGTAGGCGACGATAACCTCGTGAGATCAAAGCGGACGCAGATTTTGGAGCAAGGCGCTGCAGTTGCTCTGTGTTGGTGAAGGTTCTCAGTCATCCAGGTCATGGTAATCCAGAATGGTTCAAATGAAGGCAACTGGACTTCAGCTGGACTGCCATGATACTGGAAAGGTGAAGTCTTAGTCCCCCTGGGGCTGGGGCTTTCACGTTTGACATAGATGGCTTCTTTTACTCCTCTCTCAAACCATCCATCTTCTCTGTCCAGAATTTGGACTTTGCCATCTTCAAAGATGTGTCCCTTTCTCCCATATTCAAGTTAGAATAGACAAAGCTCCTCAGATGAGAATGGAAACCAAAACAGTCCAGTTGTTTTCATTTGAACATTCTTGGATTACTGCATATCATATGTGAAATCCATGGCACATAAGCGAAATTAGAAAATAGCGTTTTTATCCCTGTTTGTCCGGGGACCCATGGTCCCGAAGTAGATGGGCTTAACGTAGGCTTCCTATGTGTAAGCTAGCTAGCCGGTTTTGTTTGCAGATTCGTTACAGCACCTTTAATTGACCCAAGTCCGATACGACCCATTGGGCTTACTCCGTATGGGCTCGGATCGTACAAGCGAGGAAGAGCCGTCTGGAAGTCTACACAAGACGGGAAAACTCCAGATGAGATGCGCTTGTGCGGCTCACGCATCACCAGTTACAATGGATTTTATTTAGTATTTATTTATTTTTACTGTTGGTGTCGGGGGCGTCTCTGTTCTGACTATCCGTGCCTCCTCGTTTAATCTTCCTACCGCAGCGTGGTGAGACTCTATTAAACAACGCGAGTCAAAACACAAGGCAGAAAAACTCAGGTTAACCTTTTTATTGTTAGAAGTCAGTGCCAAACAAAACATTTTAACTAGAAGACTGGATCCTCGGTCCCAGCTCCACCTTGTATACATTTCAGTAATTCTAGTGTTGCTGTGATAAAATCCTGTTAGAATCACTAAAACAAACAAACACAAGCTCTAGGAGGTGACACGTGTGCATAGCTTATAACAACCTCCAGGCAAAAGAGCTTAAAATATTTAAATAAATGCTTTAAAAGAAAACCAAGTTCAGTGGTTTATCCCCATTTGTGAAGAGTGAAAAATAAACATTTAGCTGCAACAGGATGGAGACAGGAAACGAAGGAGACAGCAAAAATATGTAGAACCAAACATTCATCATGAGAAAGATATTAAATCCCATCTTCAGTCATTTGTATCTGATTTTTAAAAAGTGCTGCTTTCTGGTTTCGTCTGTTGCTTCAAAGTCTTGTTGAACTACAACCTTACAGTTCAGATAAAATAAGGTCAAATGAAAACACCAGAACTGTTCAACTTCCAGGGCTTTGATGCTCTTCTCCGGTAGATTATAGTCAGAAAACTAGCAGGTAAAGGAGACCAGCCAGCTGCTCATCCTCCACTTTTATGTGTTTGTTTCTGTAACCAGAGAGAAAGTCGCTCCACCAGGGACGACCGAGGCCCGTAAACCCTCTCTCTGCAGACGGACCACAACAAACCCTACAGCTTGTTCTGGTTTCTCAGCTGAGTTGGGCTAATGAACAATGCCGCAGCAGCAGCTCAGTACTTATTCACGTGTGAGCAGATTTCTATCAGCTTCACAGGTTAATAAAAAACTTAACACTTCTCTATTCCCCAGCAGAAGCACTCAGAGGTTTCATGGCGCTTTAGGATCATTCAAGAGAAACAATGCTGGCACATAGTGGTTCTGCTCAACCCCCGATCTACGGCGGATTGAGTCCATTCTGGTTTTTATAGTGTCTGTTCCCATTTTGGGCCTCAGAGGAACTTTGACATGATTACTGAATCCAGACCAGCAGGATTCTGGAGAAACGGATCCGATTTCAGCAGCTGGAGGGCAAACTGAAACAAGTGAAGGATAAATCTAAAACAAGAGCTCAGTTCAGCAAGAATCATCCGTTTAGACCCAACAGCTCCTTTGTTTTAATGTTTCATCTGATTCCCTCCTTTATTTATTTAGATAAGTGACCTCAGAAGGTTAACAGTCAGAGAACCAAAGACTGAATCTGAACAATGTTGTTCATTATGTCGACCGTTTTGAGTTTTCATAACAAGAAATAAGAAACTAAACTCCTTATTTTTACTAAAAAATGATCAAATCCGTCGTGTTTATCAAGAAAAATATGAAATTACAGTATGATGAGTTCAAATAGCAGAGAAATGACGACAGTCTGGACTTCCTGAACAACACGGAGCTGCAGACCAGGAGGAAAACTGGAGATAAACGGATGATTCTGGAGTCTCAGAACTGCAGACGAGGATTTTGTGCACTGGACTGAATGGACACGGAGACCGACTTCACGTAAAGTGCAAACGGACTGAAGGCTTTTCCTCTCATGGCTTCAGACCAGCTGAAGTTCCAGTAAAACCAGCGAGGCTGACGAGGATCCACAGGTCTGGTTAGTGGCTCTCGATCACCACCGGCTCGTAGCCAGCGGCAGCGGAGACTCTGAAACACACACAACAATATTCCAGTCACCCAGGTTTTTATTGTGATGCTGAAATTCAGCTGTTCATGTATTCAGCAGATGCTTTTGTCCACAGCGACTTACTGGTGATGACCAAGCCAGCAGGTAGCCCTTGAGGCAGACAACAAACAGTGAATCTGATCTTTTGCCTTCGCCATAAAAAGATTCAGAAAGTCGATCTCATTTCCAAATAATTTTCTCATTTTTAATCTTCTAATGGTAAACATCTGTATTTGTATAGCGCCTTCTTAGGGTTCTACAACCCCCCAAGGCACCTTACAACACTTCAGTCATCCATTCACACATTAACGGGGATGAGCTAAGATGTAGCCACAGCTACCCTGGGGTGCATTGACAGAGGCGAGGCTGCTGAAAACAGGCACCACCGGTTCCTCTGACCACCACCAGCAGGCAGGGCGGGTTAAGTTGAACAAGGACAACACAGAGAACAATGTTCATGTAGGGTTGTCATGGTGACCGGTGTAGTGGTAAACTCCGGTAAGAATGTTAACAATAATGATTTGCATTTTGTTTTTTGAAAATATTATGTTGGTGGGTTACCGTGGCCATGGTGACCCTTACCAGCCACCACACCTACACCCTTATTTAAAAGGAGGACCGCAGGATGTGTTCCAACAACAGGTGGATCACATTCCTGAGCCTCCCTGGTAAGGTCTATTCAGGGTTCTGGAGAGGAGGGTCCGGCGGATTGTTGAAACTCAGATTCAGGAGGAACAATGTGGTTTTGGTCCTGGCCGTGGAACACTGGACCAGCTCTATACCCTTAGGGGGTCCTGGAGAGTGCGCGGGAGTTCGCCCAACCAATCTACATGTGTTTGTGGATTTGGAGAAGGTCAATTGACCGCGTCCCTCGGGGGACCCTGTGGGGGGTACTCCAGGAGTATGGGGTACCAGGCCCTCTGATACGGGCTGTTAGATCCCTGTATGACCGGTGTCAGAGCTTGGTCCACATTGTCGGCAGTAAGTCAGGCTCATTTCCTGTTGATAGTTGGACTACGCCAAGTAAGCCCTTTGTCACCGATTCTGTTCATAACCTTTATGGACAGGATTTCTAGGAGCTGCCAAGGTGTTGAGGGGATCCGTTTTGGTGGCCTGAGGATCAGGTCTCTGCTTTTTGTACATGATGTGGTCCTGTTGGCTTCATCAGAACGTGATCTTCAGCTTTCGCTGGAGCGGTTTGCAGCCGAGTGTGAAGCAGCTGTGATGAGGATAGGCTCCTCTGAATCTGGGACCATGGTCTTGACTCGGAAAAGGGTAGAATGCCTTCTCCGGGTCAAGGATGAGGTCCTGCCCCAAGTGGAGGAGTTTAAGTATCTCGGGTTCTTGTTCACGAGTGAGGGAAAACTGGAGCGTGAGATTGTTAGGCGGATTGGTGCTGCATCTGCTGTGGTGCGGGCGTTGTACCGGTCTGTCACAGTGAAGTGAGAGCTGAGTCAGAAGGCAAAGCTCTCGATTTACCGGTCGATCTACGTTCCTACCCTCACCTATGGTCACGAGCTTTGGGTAGTGACCGAAAGAATGAGATAACGGATACAAGCGGCCGAAATGAGACACAGGGTGTCTGGGCTCTCTCTTAAGCCCTTTTCAGATAGACATTCTGGAACATTTGTGGACAATTCAATCCGGTTTTTAACCGGAACTGTGTTTTCAGACACACCACTTTTGTACCGGAACTTGTCCTTTCGGCTGCGTTCACACAGCAGGGAAAAGTTCCAGATGTCTGACGACGGCGGCGGGGGGTGGGGGGGAATCGGACTCATGTTAAGAAGAAGAAGAAGAAGAAGAAAATATCATTTCTATAGAGCCTCAAGATAAAAATCACGAGGCGCTTAAGCATAATTCTGCGCACACGAAGACGCATAAGAGACCTGGATGTTGAAGCTCAATGGTTAAAGGAATCACCGAAGCGGTGTGAAACGCTCCGTCGCGCGTCTAGACGGTACCGTAGGAGGCGAGCTGCCGTGGTTCGCCGCATGCTACAGTAGCGGGCTATCTAGGTGCGCACAGCGTCCCCTGGTCCCCTCCTCCTCCCCCTCCCCCTCCCCCTTGTCCGGAACTCTACCTCACCAGTCTGAAGCAGCCACCTTGTCCGTAACAAGTCCGGACCTGTTACTAGGGGCTTCGTCCGGTTAAATTCCGGAACACGTTATCCGGATGTTTGTATTCAGACACAAAGGTCTTATGGACAGAGTCCAGAACATTTCCATTTTTCATGGCCTGTCTGAAGGGGGCTTTAGAGATAGTGATAGAGAAGCTCGGTTATCTGGGAGGGGCTCGGAGTAGACCTGCTGCTCCTCCACATCAAGAGGAGCCAGTTGAGGTGGCTCGGGCATCTGGTCAGGATGCCTCCTAGACGCCTCCCTGGTGAGGTTTTGCGGGCATATCAAACCGGGAGGAGGCCTAAAGTAAGACCCAGGACACGCTGGAGGGACCATGTCTCTCACCTGGCCAGGAAACGCCTTGGGATTTCCCCGAAACAGCTGGCACAGGTGGCTGAGGAGAGGGAAGTCTGGGCTTTTCGACTTAGGCTACTGCCCCCACGACCCGACCCCAGATAAGCAGATGAGAATGGATGGATAGATGAAAACAGCAGACAACATTTGTCTTTGTAAAGATTGTGCACATCTCTTGTAATATTTATACCTAGATATTTGAAGCTGTTTCTAGCCATTTTGAAAGGTATAGCACTGTTCTGTATTTGAAGAGCCTTGTTGTTAACTGGATAGCATCAACTTTTACTGAGGTTCTATTTGTACCCAGAGAAGGAGCCAAAGTTTCATAGGGTGTGGATAAAATGGAGCATACATGAAACAGGGTTAGATAAATACATTAACAACAACTTGTCTGCATAAGTGGATACTCTATGGTCGCTATTCCCCCTATGAATCCCTGTAACTGATGGCAAGGTTTGGAGTGTAATGGACAGGGGCTCTAGGGCCAAGGCAAATAACAATGGACTAATAGGACAACACTGTCAGGTATTCCTTGTCAACTGAAAACATTGTGAATGCTTAGCATTTATGATTAAGGAGGGTTTGGGTGAGGTGTATAAAAGTCGTATCCCCTACATAAGGTTAGGGCCAAACCCAAGTAAATAGCCCCACTGTACCCTATCAAATGCTTTCTCTACATCCAGCGCGATAACCACCTCAGGCACCTCACTGGACGCAATAGAGTAGACTAACATTTAGGAGCCGACGAACATTTGCAAATGAGTGACATCCTGAGATAAAAACCAGTTTGGTCAGCAGATATCACGTTAGCGTAGGACAAGAGCTTTGGTATGGGGCCAAAGTACATGTTGGATCCTTCCAGTATATATGCTAAAAGGCCTGTACTTGATCTACTTTCAATCGAGCCCTGAATGTTTATTCATAAGTTTTTCACTCATCAGTCACAGTCTCGCTCATCTAACCCTAACTCGCAGCAAGCTGGGCTTGTTACCGTGGTGACTCCCCCCTCCACTCTCCTATCTTGCCTGCTCTGAATGGACACGAGCATGCGCGACGTGCTCAGCGTGAGATATTGAGTGAGGCGGCAACCACTGGAATGCATACGCCCAGGTAAAAGGATGTTGTGAAAAAAATGGAAATGTTGTGTTTGGCGCCACCTTAATGTAAATGTTTGGCGTCTTGTGACTATGTGATTTGCCAGCTCTTTGTTCTGAGATCAGTTGGAGTGGAGTAAACCTTGTAATAAGATTAGCAGTATTTCTCAGAGTCAAACAGAAATCAATGGCTCATAGAAAACATCCAAAAAAAAAAACTGTCGAAACTTTTTTTCAGGAGATAACCACTGGTAAGAATCTATTGTTGAGAAGTGCAAATGAAATTATTTAGAAAGGAAAATGCTGACTCATGCATCGTTTTCTTTAGCTGTTGTGTTGCTAGCTAACTAGCTATCACTAATAGGCAGTAGCATGTGGACTACAGAAATTTAGAACAACAATTTAATGAATAATACAAAGCAATGAAAACTTTTACATTTCATAGCAAAACAATTTTATATACTGAAGAACTCCACAGTAGGCCCAATTTTATCGCGTTTAATGCGTGCCACAACCCGTGCACGCGCATTGGGTCCACAGCGCGCGTGTGAACGGGACTCGCGAGCGAAAATATACATGGCGAGAGGTCATTTGTGCACTGAGAGGGAGCAACCTGTGTCTGTGAGCGCACAAGTGACAAACCTGCGTGCGCGCGTTGTCAACGACCACACGGCAGAGGAAAACGTGCGCGCGCGGCAGCCTCTGTGCGCGCTCGGCAGCCTCTCGGTTTCTGACTCCTGCTCGCTCGGCTGTAAAAGGGCTTTTGGCACTCTGGAGGCGTGGCCTGTGGCAGATCTTGTCTGTCCTCTGATTGGTTAGTTCACCCCGCACTTTACCCTCTATCTATATAAAAAAGTCTGATGTTCAGTAGTTGCTGGCATAGCTCAGCTGGGAGAGCGGGTGACTCTCGCCCCGGAGGATCCAGGTTCGAGTCCGGGCAAGGAGAATGTAGTAGACGTCATGTTAACTTTTCTTAATTTCAGGTATTTTACAGTTGTGACCGTTCAACTGTCATTAAACGTCCGAATGTTTGCTGGGCAGTGTTTTAAAAAGTGCACATAAGCTAGATGGTTTTAACCATATAAAATTACATTTTTTGTGATACTGGAAAAATACATACTGAAATAAAACTACTGATTGAAAACTTTATGACTGTGGTTGTACAATATATGACTCACTAATACACTGCAAACTCCCTTAGAGTGGGGCTTCCAGAGAGAGAGAGAGAGAGAGAGAAAAGTTCTTGCCTCATTAATGAATTGTTTATTTTTTTCAGTATTTAATTGACAAATTATCCTTTCAAATAATTAATTGATGAGTTACATAATTGTCCATTTCATAAAGAAACTGCATATCAAGCTTTCATTCAGATGACCTTCAACAGTGCTGCACCCTGCTGAGGGACATCCGAGT